TGGTTTCCATATCAGTTAGTAAAACTGGTGTTCTGGCCATGCAAGTAAAATGCAAGTTAAGCGGTCAGTATATGAGTATCAGTGGTGACGGGGCAGCTGCTGGGAGAGGAGAGCAGGTGGGTGGGTCACATCGGTACTGAGGAAAGGCTGCTCTGACAATGTGATGGGGTGGAAAGGGGAGTTTTTATTATTTATTATAGTTTTACAGCCATTTTTGTTCTCATAAAGGATGTGAATACTTCCCACCCATCACATTGCTGGATGAGTTTCATCCAGAGACACAAAATGTGCCGTGTGCCAGAGCTGCATTATTTGATATTTAGGATAATGACAGCGTTCAGAGCAAACTCATCCCCCATAGCCAGCTGCTTCCCACCCACAGCCTACCATGAAAACATAGGGAGTGGGATGCCTGGGGAAAATCAGTGAGCATTAGAAAACTACATTTTTAGTCAAAACAAAGTATAAAAAGATAAAGCTAGACAATTTTTAAAATCTTTTCTTTTGCTAATTTATCTACTTACTGTGTTTCTGCAGTCGAACTGCTGATTCCCTGTTTGCTTCAATAGCAAACATTTTTGTCAGTTCAACAATTAATACTGAGGCCTTTTTGGTGGCAAATAAGGCCTATAAAGAATAAAGACAAGACCCCAAGCCTTAATGTGCTTTCTCAGACCTAACTTGCTTCAGAAACACAAAAAGGCTCTTTTGTTGTTTATCATTTGCTTTTGCACCGTTATTATATTTCCTCAAGTCAATTTCGGCTTTTTGGTGTTGTTTCCTTGAAAAGAATGCCCTAGAAATGGTGAGTTTTCTTTGAAGATCAATATGAGGGTGTTGCAAGTTATGTGGGAAAAGAATACTAGTTTGCATGAGAACAGAAACAGCATGTGCAAATGAATGTATATCAGTCAACACAAAGGCTTGTTTACCTTTAAGCCACATTAATGAATGTCTGGGTTTGAATTGGAAATTAAGTGCATACAGTAACTGTGTGCGTGAGAGAATATCCATCTATTGTTTGCACATTCCCTGTGTGTGGCTTTCTCTGTTATCAGCATCTATGGATGCTCCATCCAATTACATTCCTAATAAACAGCCTCAATGAGAAGATGCTCCTGTTCAACAATGAAACTCACTGACAAATACAAGATATATTTCTAAGGACACATGTTTTTTTTTTTTTTTCTGTCTTATTGTGCTCACCTCATATCTTCAGAATTAGTCACAGGAGGCAATAATCTTCTCCAGTTCTGAAAAACTTTTACATTAAGTGGGAAGACAAAGTTTCACAAATGCATCTTCTCTCATATTGTTTGTCTCACAGGTAATTGTCATCATCAAATTACTCACTGGCACAAGAGCTGCATTGGTTTTAGTACGAGTTACTCATTTCTTTATTTTGTTATGTTCATGTTTCTTGATGTAAACCTGATCTGCATCACAGAATTTCTAGCGGTTGTCTGGTTGTCTCTCAGGGAAGAACAGACTCCTTTAAATCACTGCGCTTCGCTAACGGTCACCTAGAAATGGCTCCTCGATCGTATAAAATCCCAAATTTGTTGCTTTCATATACATTTTTCTGTATTTCATTAACAAAGTACACACAGATAATACATCAGTGTGCTTTAGAGATGCTGTTAGGTATATTTTCAAACTGTGGACAGATATGCTAAGTGATTAGAGTTTATATTCAAAGTTAATTATATCTTTGCTCTGATAACTTTACAGTTCCCAAAATGTCAAACAATTAAACTTTGTCCCTGAGGTAGGATGCTTAATATATTGCATGTATTAATGTTGCATATTTCTTATATGTATCTTTAATATACAGGATTATGGGAATCATCATTTGGATAACCCCTATTATAATTCCCATTTAAGTTTATCCCACGCATGGTTTATAATTTGCTTTATGCAATGGTCCAACTGTCATCACAGGGATCATTAAAGTTTCATGCAGTATGGTCTAATTTATTGGCTTAATAAATTAAATAACTACATCATTTTTATTAGGCTTTCAGGGGACAGTAATGTGCTGTATCCGCATGTGCTGAATGTATTTATGAGCACTCACTGACATGCGCAAGATCCCGTGACCCACTTCAGGATTTGTAAAAATCTGGTCATCCTACTTACATGATATTGAATGTCAAGGGTGATGGATTTCTTCTCCCAGTTTCAGTCTAATCCCACTTCATCCACAACAATATTTGCACTGACTGTGTGTCATAAGTTCTGCAGTGCATGGGAGAAATATTCAAACTCATATACCAAGCGATTATGGATTTTTTGGTGTTTTTTTTTGCACATTGGATTCACCGGATGAGTTGACACTTTAGGTTATCTGTTTGAACGACCTGACACAAGAAAGATTTGTGCTATTTGAGTTCTATTTCGGTGTAATCACAATCGGCTGCTGCCTCCAGCTTACTTCTGTTTGCTTTTGATGTTTCAGACAAAGAGCACTTTTGCTCTGAAACAAGGGAGATCAATGATCAAGCATGATTCATATTAAACAACTGATTGAAGATCTTGTGCTTTATGTCCCAGTGAAGTTCATTTGACTGACAGTTTTCAGGGTGCAGTGTGTTTTCATCTCCCATTCTTTGGTCAAAAAGTATCTGCAAATGACGTGTATTTGAGAGGCTCCATTGTATCCTGTGTAATTTCCGAAAGTCCAACTTGGGAGGCCAGAAGATCTTAAAAATGACTCTCCTGGAAGATGTTAGCATTCAAGAGGTAACATGACTTCCAAAAGATGCTCTAAAGGTTGAGATTACAAATATAATCTGATTCCCTTTGCACATACATTGATGATTGGACACCATGTCAAGTGAAGGCCTCTTGCAAAAACACTGTTCTAATTATTTATTGTGGCAGAAAAGCACTCAAATGGTTATAAAGCCATAAGGTCATGCAGTGCAGCTGAAAAATTAAATAATCTCAAATTGAAATTGAGGTTTCAAATAATGCCAGTAGTTTCATTAAACATGTTTTCACATTTCAGACGGTATCCCACACATCTCTCCATCATCCTCCACATATTTTAGATTTATTGACACAGTGAATACTGTACTAGAACTTGACCGAATAAATTATATCACATATCAAGTCACGGTCCAAGTATGTGGCAGAAAAATCACAGATATTTTCCTGAAATTGTTCAGCGCTATTATCTATACAAATTCATTCTTCTTGTCTTTCTTTTTCTAGTATTTTTTTTTAGAAAATTTAAGGCCTTTGCACTTGTTTGCTAAAAAGTCAAACTTTACTGACTGTTGATTACCAATCATCACCTTTTGCTGTCATTCAAGTGCAACACAACGTAACCTCGTGCAATAAACCTGAACAATATCTATCATGCTGAACCCTGCACCGGGGCGGTGGGTGAGAAATGAAGATCGACAACATCGTTGCAGAAGACAAGGGAGAACAATAATGGCAGGATTTCCTTCTAAACCTCTTCTTAACACCTCCCTCTCTCGTTCGTTGCCTTGCTGTCTCTCATCTCTCTATTTAATTTCACTCTCCCACAACAGTGCCAATTCACTGCCATGATGGCCATTAAGATGTTATGAATTTCAATAACTTTTTATAGAGTTTGGGCATCGGAGGCCTATTTGCAAAATGAACTGATGAGACATCAGCGAGGTACGAGAAGTGCACCGTCATCATTTTAACTTTGGGAGGTTGAAACTCAGTAGAATGTGTCAATCAGTTTATATAGTGCAGCGAGAGGTGTTGTTTCGGGCATCTGGAAAACAGCAGGGGTGTGTCATATTAATGTACCAAAAATGCAAAGATAAATATCTCAGCTTAGTGGGAATAATCAGAATATTAAATAAAGTGGCCTCCCCAAAAGAATGGTGACAGAGATCCGACCTTACAGAGTTTGTCACTATGAAAGTGTGAACAAACTGCTGAAAGCTATCATTGCTGGAGAAACTCACCCATCACACTGTAAAAATTACCGCTATGCGCTTTTATTTATAATCATCAGACCATGCTATATTCAAAATCCAACTCAAATCCGTGATCCCATTTCGCAGTCAATAACAATGCCCATACTTAAAGCATTTTTGACTGCACTGAACTAGTGAAAGTAGAAGAAAAAAGGTATTTAAGGGAATATATTCCCGTTTTTCTTCAGCAAGCATTTGATTTACATAGAGCCAGCAAGCTGAGCAACGTCAGGGGAATTGAGAGTGAAAAGTAAACAGACTTGTGCTGAAAACTATACAGCTTACACGCCAAGGACAGGGAGTGTTTTGTCAGCAGCGGTGTTGAAGTGCAAGACTCACATCAGCATCTAAACTAACTCAAATGACATTTACAGGGAAGTTTTAATGCAGTTTAATGTGCTGCAAATGACTAGCAAATTAGCCTGCAAACTGACGTTGAGCAGAACACGTCCCTGGTGGATGTCGAACAAACAGACAAGTAATTTAATTCTAGTTGAACTTCAAGGCACCCATTCTATGTATGTATGCATTTTTACACTTTTGGTATTGAGGTAAATTATGCAGAGACTTTGCAAAACGAGTTGCATTTATAGAAGCTTTTCTTGATGATATGCACATGTCCTGTAAATGAGGACACAAGTAGGTCACTTCATCAACATTTTAATTTTCGCTCAGGGGCAATATTGCACCTCACATCAGTAGTTTTCCTCATCTGGCTCTAATGAGCTAATTACAGACTTGGTCCAATGCAGCAATCATTGACTCATTGTTACATTAAAGCTGCAAGAAATGTGTATTTTTTTCTTCGTCTTTCTCCCAGGTTGTTTGTGTCATTTTAAGAATAGAAAGTATGCTGACAATGGATTCAATGTGAAGTGTTTGACAGCATGAAGTGGAAATTAACATAATTTCTGCAGCCTAGTCTATCATTATCTGGTATCAGTCTCATGCAGGGCCTGCACATAAAAAAAAAAATGCATCTCTTTGGTCTTGTTGTCTAGTCAAAAGAGTTATTTTAAGAGATTAACATCTCACCTTAGACCATACAACACTGTACCATCCGGGTGCAGCCGAATCATTCTATTTTTCACTGTGACACCGTGGACAAACGATTTCTTGTCGTTGAGGAAGTAGGTGTCGGGGACCCAGAGCTGGTCAGCCACCCGGTTATCTAAGGTCAGGTTGAGCGGGATCTCAGAATAGGACAGCCGCTTGTCTCGCCAGGCCTGCTGGAAGTACATTGTCAATGTGTAGTCCTGTGAGTGCACAGAAAGGGGCAAAGGAGGACAGAGAGAGGGGGAAAGAGAGAGCACGAGAAAAAGAGGGTAAGGAGAAAGTTGAAGCGGGAAGGAAAGCGGCCGAGAGAGGGAGGAAGAGAGGTGGATGAACCAGAAGAGAGAGGGGGGGAAAAAAAGAAGAGACAAGCGACAGTTACTCCAAAATGGCAAGCGTTTTTTTTTTGTTGTTGTTGCTGTTTTTTTTTTTTTTACACAGCTGTAATACTTTTCCACTGCAAGGTCTCAGATTAGACCAGACTAGGTTTCAATATTGGATGAAGTTCACTTTAAAGCAAATGGAACAGTAGCGGTACAGGCCAAAAAACTCTGAGTACAAAGCAATGGGGAATTCCTTCTGTTCATAGAAACATGAGGTTAAGACAGGCAGTGTGAAAGAGTGTGTATGTGTCAGAGAACGCAAGAGAGACGGATACAGAGAGACAGATGGTTGGGGTTTAGTATGTGTGTGTGTGTTTGTCAGTTTGGGTCTGTTAATATACGATAAAGGGGTGTAACATATGTGCGAGGCTTGTGTGGTTGGTTTATCACGAGTGCTTGTGTGTTTTTGTGCACATGTGACCCACACACATAGACGCAGAGAAGAGAGGAAGAGAGACGGAGGGGGACCACATGTTCTGGACAAATGAAAACAACCTCCAAGCAATCTCAAAAATCTGTTTTACAAAATATCTTCTATATGCTCTATTTGCTTTGACAGTAGCTGTCCTTCTGGGATTAAGAATTGTTTGCGGAGTGGGCTCACTGTGTCGCACTTGCATAACATATTCACTTGTGGTTTTTTTTGCGTTTGTTCTTCCCAGAACCAGAATGGTAGACCCTCCTCTCACATTACATCAAGCAGCACACACACAGTACATAGCCTTTGAGGGTCCAGCATTTTTCTTTTAAAAAAGGAGAAATAAACTCTTTTTTTAACAACTAGTTTTTCTTAATTTGTTATTGGCATGGGTAGGATGAAGAAGCTTGTCCATCCAGTGCCACTGAGGCAAACAATATATTTGTTTATATTAGATAATTAAAAGGCTTTGGTTGTGCCACCAAGCGATGCTTTCATGAGCAGATTCCCGTTTCATTTTTTTCTCATCGCTTAAGAGACGCATGTGTAAAATTGCAAACATGCCCACATGAGAATGTGGGATGATGTAATGCAAATTTCTGCTGATGATTTCATGCAATTTTGCTGGTCAACAGTTAATGGGGGCAAAGTGCAAAAAAAAATGCATCGCTGCAGGCAAAAAGTGGAGAAAAGGAAGACAGTTAACTAACATGTATGTAACAGTAATAGGAAAAAAAACAACCCATGAAATCTTATATATGAGCCATTAAATTCACTGTACACTTAAAATTTAAATTCAAAGCATGCAGAGCACTGACTGTGACTCATTTCACAGTTGGGATATACATACGAAGATGTATTTCTATAATGTCAGATGCACACACAAACCCTGGAACACGCACAGCACGTTAATAATTCACAAACAAATAGAAGAGGTTTGATAAATTGCACGAAAATTCCCAGGTGGTAAATCTAGGACACGTTAAAAACAGTCAAGCCAGCAGTCAGGTGCTCATGTAGCTCACTGAGGTAAAGAAGCCTACCAATCATCCATGAAAAACTAAGTTAAATAAACTTGCTGTCTCAGGGAACTTTTTGTCATGACTGGCACATCCACTTCCTGGCAAAGAGGCTGAACATGCATTTTTGAATATGCCCGTTGGCTACAGATCTGACATCCCACAGCACCTTGGGAACTGGAAGCTTGGATATTGACTGGATGGAGTCAGGGAAATGGGAGCAGCTTTTCTCAGTGAAGTCCTTGTTTGACTTAAATAGGTTTTGTCATGTTGTTGTTGTTTGTACTGTATTTGGCTTGGGGTGCTGACAACAGGGAGTTTGAGAACTGAGTATTTATTTTTTTTTTTCCCGAAACACATAAATAGTATAGTGGCAAATTCTATCATTCAGCGCTATAATTGGACTTGGAATAGGAACAGAATGATTTGGGTAAATCCAGCATCAAACACTGTATGGGACTGTGGAAACTTCCTTTTTGACATTCGTGTTTTTCATAAATGAAACTGGAATGCCCTATTTAGGACAACTGAGGTATGGAAAGGTTTAATACAATGTTGGTGAACTGCTGCAAACACAAGACGGCAAAGGCATGGAATTTCCAGAATAAACTCTTTTTTTTTCCTTTTTTACAGTAAATAATTGCGGAAGTCTGATATTTGTTTAGCCTTAGACTTGCACCACTGGATAGCTGACTGCACGTGCTGCCTTCCCAACTCTTCCATCCCTCGCTGGCGGTTATGTAACGGCTCACACTCTGCTCTTTCTGGCATGCTGTACACCGCAGCACGTGTGGCTGAAGAGATGCTTGTTGCCATGTCGTCCTCCTAAACTATCTCCGCTGCTGCACTCATCAATACACACCATCAAACAGGAGGGTTTGCTGTGATGTATGAAACATCAGGGGTGCTTCTCCACCTCTGCTTCTTGTTAGCATGCGCACGCCGACACACAAAATATCTCTTCCTGTCATGTTAGAAATGTGGACATCGAATGCCTCACACCATTTTTTTTCCCCCCCAGAAACTGTATCAACAAATGATACATGCGCTATATTATTTTTTAACAATGCGTCCGTCTTCTGCACGTGCAATCCGCGTACTTTGTCCGTGCGCGTGCTTTTGTTGTGCTTCGGGGATTACAGCCGGAGCTAAACAGGGATACGGGAAGACAATGCAGCAGTGATTTTCACCTGGTGCTGTCGATTGTAGAGGTTTTCTCATTGTTTGGAATCCTTTGCAATATGTAGCAGCGACTATTAGATAACAAGAGTCGTGATCTTGCTGTATTACATCACTTGCAGCCCCGGCACTCATAACAAGCATCATTTGTGAAAAGCCATCAGCCATTTTGGCATACGCACAATCCTCCCCGCCACAGTCTACTTCTTGAATCTGAAGCGCTCTTAAGTAGCTGTGAAAAGTTAGGAGAATAAAAGATAGGCATGGTGGGGAAAGAAGGCTGTTAAGTGACATGGGGCGTAGTTATTAAACTGAGTGAATGTTTCTATTGTCATCCCTGAGAGCCTATTATTGCAGCCCTATCTACTTGAGGAAGTTGCGGTTTGCTTTGTGGGACGGGCCCTGTGGAGGTGCCACTGTGGCTAGTTTGCTGTAAACATAAAGTTCTCCTTAAAGACAGCTATAGTGTGCGTATGTCTCTCTCTCTTTCTCTCTCGCTTTGCCTCTCCGTGGAAGAAGGAGGTTGTAAATCACCACAGTAACTGCAGCGGGTGTGTGCATGTAAGTGCAAGGGGAGGCTGTCATAACAACAGTCATAATGAGCATCAGTACATAAACTATGCTGGAGAGAAAAGGAGAGTGGGAGAGAAATGGAAAAGAGACAGAGAGTGATGCAGGAAGCATTACGTTGAATTTATGAGTGCAGAATGTGATGTGCTCCCAAGCTGCCAAGGAGAGGACAATACAAAGTGATCATTAAATTCTCACACTCAGAGCTACTACAGGATCCATTATAACTAATATCCAGTTCCACGGCATGCTTCCCACTGTGTTAATATGTTTCCTAATTTTGAAGACATCTTGTTAAATGTATTTCTTACAGATCTGGTTAAACGCAGAGACTATTCAATAGACTATATGATTTATTTTCTGTTCTAAAACCGTCCAGTCCATAATTTACAGAACTGATAATTGCATACATTGGCAAGGATAATGTACAGAACGTTTCTTTTTTTTTTAGAAGCAGTACAAATTTCTCATTTGTCAAAACCACTGAATACTCTTTTTCTTAGCTCTTCCTTTCCCATTCAGCTTCTTTAGCTTTATCATATGCCTGCATCTTCATTTGCATTTATAGAATTTTAATAAAAGACTTCAAAAACGATTTCATAGACCATATAAAGTCTAATTAATATGTCTGCTCAGCACACTGACACACGGACTGTTGCCGCTACATCATCATCAAAAGCCTGCACGGGTTTGCGCTCCACTGCCGGAGGAGAATCTGGTGCTCTAAGATCATTTTCTATATGGTGTGCTGACTCTGCTCACCTGGCCTGCCGTCGGCGAACACTGCCATACTGAGAAAAGTACCGTCATCACCACTCTGTAGTAGCTTGTAGCTATCTCAGCAAGTGAGATGCAAATGGGGCAGGCTGCAATTATTTGCCAGCGCATATTGAAATCAGTCCTTTGACCTGCTTGTCATCTGGAGTCATCTTACCCCAAAGCTACACATGGGTGACAAGTGTCAAATAGTCGTAATGACCAGCGGTTCGTGCTGAATGTAAGCCTGAAACTGATCTGGAAGTAGTTAGTATGCAGCCTGTAAAACATAAATAAACAACTTAAGTGCAATACTTAGTGGAAGCTGCTTTAGGCAGCCTAACGCTATTATGGAAAATTAAACATTGAATTTTTTCACCACAACACAGTGCTGCAAAACAGATATGGGGTATCTCTACTGCACTGTTCAGTAGTACAGGCAAATGTAACTTATAGGCTATTTAGAGCAAAATATACAAAAAGTAAACGTCTGTTCTTTACTTATAGTGCATGTTTTATAACCAGAGTCACTGTGTGGGCAGATATTGCAAAGAGAGGCAAATACTATGATGCATTTACAGAATATGCTTGGTCAGTCAGCCCTTCAGGCAGTCAAAATGTGCAGAATTTCATATTGGCATTGCACGCTGTGGGTATTATAGTTTGAGCCTAATATGATTTGAACATTATTGACAAGCGGATGCCAAAAGTGTCAGTAAGTAACTAGTTGTGCTTAGCCAGCCCATTGTGCACAGTAGAACATGACGGTCTAGCTTCACATCACTATTATTCTGCTATAGGTGAAAACATTCTCTGGCTTGCCTGTATTTCTTTAACCAATCACAATCGTCTTAGGCCGAGCAAAGCAAATAAAGTAG